TCATGGTCCCCTTGGTGTCCACCAGCACTCCCAGGTCCTTCTCTGCAGAGCTGCTTTCCAGCAGCTTAGCCCCCAGCCTGTCCTGGTATGTGTTGCTATTCCTGCCTAGGTGCAGGACCCTGCACTTGCCTTTGTTGGACTTGGTGAGGTTCCTCTCCGCCCAGCTCTCCAGCCTGCCCAGGTCCCTCTGAACAGCCACACAGCCTTCTGGGGTTTCCACCACTCCTCCCAGATCCGTACTGCATGTGAGCTCGCCGTGAGCACACTCTGCCCCATCAGACGCTTTCCTCCAGTTTCTCCCGCTCGGTCAGGCCCAGTGGGTCTCCACACCAAGCAGACTGACAGCTGCGTGGAGAGGGCTGGTAGCCCAGAGTGCCAGGGCAACGCTGGGAAAGGCCATCAGGACCCGACCAGGGCTCCTGCTAGCTCGGCATCGTGTCTTCAGCAAGGGCTGCGGGAAGAGTCGCAGGGGAGTCTCAGGGACTGGGGCCAGAGCCCGTCTCTTCTGTGAAACTACCCGCTTGCTTCTGAACCCCCGTAAACTCGCATCTGCAAGATCCTGCTTAAGTGCAGCGCGAGAGGCTGGAACGGGTGAAGGGCAACAGCACCTGAGCACAACCGACCGTGTTAACAGCTCCACCCCGGGCTATGAGAGGACCAACAGAGGGACTAAACCATGGGGAAGCCCCTGGTGCCCATGTCCGCTGGGGAGCAGGAAGGTTCCCGCGTCCCCATGGGTACTTTCTCCATCTGAGCTTCTCCTCGAATAAGCCGCTCTTGCGGTAAGCTGCTGCCAAGACCGATCGGCTCGTCGCGGGGCTTAGCGTTATTAGATTAGGTGGCTGCTCTTGACTGGGTTTGAATGGAGCGTGTATTATCCACTTAAAGGCAGGAGAGGAGCCGAGGGCACCGGGGATGCTGCCGGCAGGTTGGCTGGGCACCATGCATCCCGGCTGGTGGAGGTGCCTGGGCCTCATACGAGCTTCGGACCCAGGTGCCCATGCGGGCGGGTGCCATCTGAGACGCCCCAAGGTTGCAGGGCTCCGGCTCTGCCGTTTGTGCACCTCCTTGCCCTGCAAACATTTCAAGGCCCCCATCCATGTGAGTTTCCCCTGGAAGAAGGTTATGGGTACCTGGATCACAGCTACTTGCAATGGTTGAACATCTCTTGGCTGTTGCATTGAGCAAAGGGACGAGCTGGTCTCCAGCCTGGGCTATGGAGCGAAGGCTGGAGAAGACGCTGTTACGGGCTGTGGTAGGAGCAAAACGGCTCTGCTGCATTTCAGAGGTTCCCACAGGCTCCTGGGGAGACCTGGGGTGGGAAAAGCTACGGCAGGACCCCTCCAGCCTTGCACCACTGGGTCACAGTGGGGCAGGAGAGGGCCAGGGGAGCCCTGAGGGGCTCTGACCTTGCTGGCAGCCCCAGGCCCTCCTCTTCTCGGGACGAACCCATCAAACGATGCCGCTGCCCTAGAAGAATTCAAAGCCGAGCCTTTCCTTCCCCATCCCTTTTTCTCTCATCCGTGGGAAAAATCCGGAGATGGGCAAGCATGTGCTTCCCGTTAGGAAATTCTCACACTTCCCGGCCCCCAAAGTAAATAAAAGAGCAAACACGAGGGCGTGGGGACACGGAGGTGCCGGGGCAGGGAGGTCCGAGGTGCAGGGACCCTCCGCTCCCCTGCCCGCCCGTTCCCACATCCCCTGGCCTCGGCTCCCAGAGCCTTCGGGCTCCCCTTGGCCCCGGCGCCGGCACCCCCGCTTCCCCGC